TTTCTATAATAATAAAAATAAATATTTAAATATTTAAAATTTTTTTATTTGTTTTTGTCCGCAACGAAGGCCAAAACCATTGTATTATGTCTGCCAAATTGTTTTCGCCAATAATTCATAATTTTCGTTGTTAATTTCGCTAGATTTTGCCAATTCATGAAATTTTGCCGAATTGAAAGTGCAACTCTTTGCAACATGTTTCTGCAACATTTCCTTACATTTCAAATTGTTGCGGATTTCCGTTTGCAGTTTCGACTTATTTTAACGCTAGCTAATTAACATAATTTGTTTTAATTTTTTTTATGATTTTTGCTTCAGACGCGTCAAGGAACGCTAAGAAAAATACATATCAGCAACAAGCATGCACCAACAGCCATAAACTTATTCGATTATATTTATGTGGTAAGTAAAAAAAGGACGGCTTTTGTTGTAGTTGTTGTTTTTTTCAATACGAGAGTATATTTGTATATTATGTCTGTTTGTGAAGTAGTGAAAAAAGCAAAGCAGAGAAGTAGGAGTTGTTAAGCGCATATGTTTCAATGGTTATTTACTATTGTTGTTGTTGTTGTTGTTGTTCGATTTGATTTTCTTGTCGTTTTTGCTGATAAACATGTGTGCCAATAACTGTATCGTTTTATTATTGTCATTACGCTCGTTGTTAGCGCCAAAGTGGGGAGACCGCGAATGCGCCAGTGTTGACACAGCACACAGCGACGGGCCATAAAATGCTTGGCGCCACTTTTTCGCCCCTTTTAGTTGTACCGCTCACGCTTGCGGCCTTTCATGCCAGCGTTACCGTATCGATGTGGTTATAGCTATTGGCAGCGGGCGCCAATCGGTCTTGTTATGTGTTATGTTTATTTTTGAATATTTTTTTTTCGTTTTGCAAGCGCATACCACCAACACACAAGCACTTCAACACATGCGCACGCAACACCTTTGGGCCACAATTGAATTTTTTGTTTTCTCTGTGCTAAATTTTTTATTTTTGTAATGTGGTTTTTCGCAAAGTATATGACAGTAATGATTAAATTTATATTTATTGTCTGTTTTAAATACGTATGCCTGTGTTTGTTTAACTTTATATTGCTCATGTTGCGCTTGTTGTTTGTATACGCTCAATTAAATTGTTGATTTTATAATATTGAAAAATCATAAATGTGAAAATATAAACTTGTGTGGCTCGTCAGTGATTTATTTTCTTGTTTACACATATTCGATGTGAGTGCGAGATTAGTAGTTTGCATGAGAACAGACTTATGTATGTTAGTATAGTTGCACGCTACAGTGGTGTTAGAAAATGGTGTGATATGAAGTATGAAAATTAGGAAACACTATACTCATAAAAATAAAAAACAAAACAAAATGCGCTAAGATTTACGCTCTTATCTTTGCGCTTCCCGTTCTGGTTTATTTTTTTATTTTTACTACTAATATATACATAAAATACACAAAATGAAAATGCGAGTGTTGCCAAAAATTAAAGTAAATATTAAAAAAAAAGAATTGGTTAAACAATAAGAAATATTAAATATGTAAAAAATTTCATAACAATTTTAAGAACCCAATAAAGCCATTTTTATGAATTTAAAAATCTCTCGCAACGAGAAAAAATTCATAAAAATTCCAAAAATAATTAATTTCTTTATCTCAAAAAAATAAAATAAAATAAAAAGTAAATTAAAAAACAAAATATTGTATAATTATGCAAAGAGAAAAAATATAGAACAATGAAATAGCTTAAATCCTTCAATAAAAAAAAGAACAAACAAAAAATTAATAACTTAATTAAAAATTGCATAAAAACTTATTAAGAAAAAGAAAAAATAACCAAATTTTATAAATATATAAAACGCAAAAAAAAATATTAAATAAGGAAAAATTAATTTTTAAATTTAAAAAAAAATTGTAAATAATTAAAAACAATAGGAAAAAATGCATTAAAATTAAAGAAGTACTGATTTCTCTATCCCAAAGCAAAAACATCATAAAAAGTAAATTAAATAATAAAATGTTGTGTAATAATGCTAAAAATATAGACAATAAAATAGCTTAAGTCGTTGAATAAAAAGAAAAAATATATATAT